TTCTCAATAGCAGCATTGTAAACTAGAAGATGATGGGATATTACATTCAAAATTCTAAAAGAAAGTTATTTTCAACTTGGAATTAATTCTTCTTTCTTTTTAAAAATATTCTATTCTATTTTTTAAAGTCAGGATCTCACTCTGTTGCCCAGGCTGGAGTGCAGTGGCACAGTTATGGCTTACCACAGCTTTAACCTCCTAGGCTCAGGCAATCCTTCCACCTTAGCCTCCTGAGTAGCTGGGATTACAGGTGCACACCGCCAAATCCAGCTAATATTTTGATTATTATTATTTTTTTATTTGGAGTCTCACTCTGTCACCCAGGCTGGACTGCAGTGGTATATTCACAGCTCCCCACAGTCTCAACCTCCTGGGCTCAGGAGATCCTTCCACCTCAGCCTTCTGAGTAGCTGGGACTATAGGCGTGCACTACTGCACCTGGCCAATAGTTTGATTTTCTGAAGAGCCAAGGCCTTGCTATGTTGCCTAGGCTGGTCTCAAACTCCTGGACTCCAGCAGTCCTCCTTCCCTTGCCTTCCAAAGTTCTGGGATCATAGGCATGAGCCACTGCTTGGAATTATTCCAGCCTCAACTTGGAATTCTATATTTACCTCTGCCTACCCAAATCATCAATCATGTGTGAGGCAAGAATGAACATTTTTCAGTCGGGCAGTCTCAAAAACTTTACCTAGAAGATGTCTGTTAAAATAAAGGAGTATAACAAGAAAGAAAAAAACATGGAAGTCCAGAAACAGAGCATACCACTGTGCCCAGCTAAAGTTTGTTTTTAACTGACTAAATATTATATTTATGAAAATAATTAAAGTTTGCAGTGCCTTCCTGTTTTGTTTTGTTTTTTTTCCCAAATGAAATCAAGGGTCATTGACTTTGGAATTTGTTTGGAGCTGATAATCAGTGGAAATGAAAGGCTACAGATTTTACGGAAAAATCTAAAATCTGTGTTACCTAAGAAAGCAAAGTTATATAGGAATTATTCCAATTCTTTTTTTTTTCCTACTAGGTTCTGAAAAAAAAAACATGGACACAACCACTGATATATCTTATACTTTTTTTTTTTTTTTGCTTTCTGAACCTCTCCTTTTTATACCTTATACTTTATAATAGAGTTTGGTTGGACATGGTGGCTCATGCCTGTAATCCTAGCACTTTGGGAGGCCAGCAGAACAAGGATTGCTTGAGCCCAGGAGTTTGAGACTAGCCTAGGCAACATAATGAGACCGTGTCTCTACAAAAAACAAAAAACAAAAACAAACAAACAAACAAACATAGCTGGGCATGATGGTGCTCACCTGTAGTCCCAGCTACTTGGGAGGCTGAGGCAGAAGGATTGCCTGAGCCCAGAGGGTTGAGGTTGTATTGAACCATGATGGTGCCATTGCACTCCAGCCTGGGCTACAGTATGAGGCCCCGACTCAAAAAAATAAAAATAAAAAAAAGGAATTGGGATAATTCGTATAAAACTCTGCTCTTTCAGATAACAGACAGATTTTAAATTTTTCTGTGTCAGTAGCCTTCCATATTCATTGATTATCAGCTCCAAAAACAAATCCCAAAGTCAGTGACTCTGAGTTTCATCTGGGAAAAAAAAAAAGACAAAAAACAGGGAAGCATTGCAAACCATGAATATTGTTGTTATAACAGCTTTCAGATTACTTTCACATACTCTCTTTCCTGGGGTTTATAAATTAAACCTTTTTTAAAAAACAGACTGCTCCTTAGGCAGAGCAGCCTGGACTAGTCTGTAGGAAGAAAAACAAAATTAAACCTATTTTTGAAAATATGACTATTATAGCCTGAAAAAGCTGTTGAAAATAAAAAAGATTGGACTTTAAGTAGTTACCTAATAGCTTCAGGGGACATCCTTATCAGGCTGGTGATTTCAAAGTCCAGGTTTATAACACCTCTGACTTGAAATAGTGTTCAATTGTTCATTCATCAAATATTCATTAAGGATCTTTCTGGCTACCTGGATCAGGAAACCTGTTAGGTCTTCAGTGAGAAAATTATATTCTATATATGAAGAATATGAGGATACTCAAGCTTAAATGGAATTCAATCTGTAAACTACTATTGGAGAAAGACCCTGTTAAAATGGGCAGGAACAGGATTCTAAGGTTTTGTCCTCTTTCTATCTTTTCATGTGGATGGTTTTCTGGCTCCTGACTGAAGAATGAGGACATATAAGAGTGACAGACATTCAGGAAATTAAAAAAACGTGTAGGTGTTTTTAACGTAGTTCTAGAGAACAGACTAAAAGCTTAAAGGTCCTTAAAGGTCTCTTCTTGTATTCTGGAGGTTGTATCCAAGCATAGCATACTACTAATAGTAACAGCACAGCCTGGCAGCTGGATGACTGGGAAGAGCAGAGTGAAGGATCCTGGGTCACAGCACGGGTTCCCAAGAGCTCCCTCATTTGGGAAGCTTGGGGATGGGGAAGGGAATCCAGTTGCTTTTCTTCTTCAGGTGTCTGGGAATGGAAATGTGGAAACAGAGGAAGCTTTTGTGTCACCCAAGCTTGGCTTTAAGCAAATTGTGAAGTAGGTAGTTCCATAGCTCTCCACCCCTGTAGCAATGATTCTACTCCTTCTTTGTCTCCCAGGGCTGCACTCCAACACACACCCATTTAAGGGGTATTTCTCTTTTGGCATTCCTTCTGCTCCTTGTGGCCGTCTTTGTCTCTGAATTTTCACCCTGAGCTTGTACAGCTGGCCAGTATTCTCTGTGGCTTCCTAGCTGCTTTTGGCATATTGCTGACAAACTCATCCTAAGAAATTTACATGTCCTTTAAATCTCCCCAGGACAACTGTGGGTTTCAATTTCCCCCCTTTTTCTTTGATCAATAACTACCCAAATAAGAGTGAATTTTGGTGTCAACTTTCATGGGGAGAACATCCTGACCTAAGGTAGTAAGAAATTTGCTGTGGACTTGCACAGAGCCGGACTCCCATATAAAATCCTCTATGGGGAAGCCCTATAATCTTTCTGAGCTAATTTCCTCATCTGTACAAGGGGATGATGAAACCTCTGTGTAGGACTGCCACTTAGATATGCATGAACGTGCCACACATTACCTCCTAGCTCAATCTGTGTTAGTCTTCTTTTCTTTCACAGGGTTACTATGAGCACCAAGTGTGAAGATAAACGTGAAAGGGCTTTGCAACCTATCAAACTCTCTCTACGTGTTGAGTTTTGCTAATAAAAAATAGTGTGTTAATAGTCTTGGAGCTGAGTGCAGTGGCTCATGGGTGTAATCCCAGCACTTTGGGATACTGAGGCTGGAGAAGCCCTTGAGCCTAAAGTGTTCAAGACCAGCTTAAGCAATATAGTGAGACCCCATCTCTACCAAAACAAAAGCAAACAACAACAAAAAACCAAACCAAAACAAAAAACCCTAATAAAAGCACAGATAGGTAAGAGGAACAGCTAGATATTTTGGAGGAGGTTTGTACTGTTTACCACCTATGGTAAACCACCCATGTTTCTCCAAGCAGGTCTGGCAGCTCTCTCTCCGCTTCTCCGCCCTCTTCAGCCACTGCTGTCAGCACTGGCACCTTCGTGACAGTCATCATGACCACATGTCAAAAACAAACATCAGGAATTATAATGAGACAAGTTAAAATGCGTTTGTTGAGGGCAGACCCTTTAAGTAGAAATTGTCCCATAAAATTTGAGATGCATGGTCTCTGTGCATAAATGACTATACTTGCTCCAGTGATCCTGGAAATCACTGATACATTTCAATTCTGTTTCCAAAGGACAATAATAACAAAGGCAGTCACTCTAAGTTTGGCTGCAGGTGTTCTGCGTTTGGGCATTGCTGTTTCCATTTGAGGACCAAGACAAACATATCCAGTAGCATTGGAAGGGCTAACAAACTGGTATCCAGTGCCAGAAAATTTGACCAGAATACTTTATATCTACTCCAAACCTGAAAATCACACCCCCTAATATTGTGCTGGTGAGTTGGTAGATAAAGGAAAAAAACATTGAAAAGATGGCAGCCCCTAGAAGGAAAACAAGCTTGCAGGAAATGTCTGAATTGCCACTTAATTTCTGCACATTAAAGTCTCACTGGAGGTGCATGGGAGTTTGGGAAGAACGGAGACTGCCTTTGTGCAAGATCCCTTAGCTGGCTGAGACCTGTGAGTGGCAGGTTTGTCTCACAGGAAGGCCTTTCAAATTTTTTTCCTGACGCTTTTTCCTGTGGACTTTGCTTTTTGTATCCTGCAGGTTAGCCTTCTGTTTGTACTGTCACTAATAGCATTTACATTGCTCTTTTAGAATTTAAACAGTAGTTTCATATCACAACATTGTCTATCTCCTTGATCGTTCTCTTGATTTTTACAGTAACCATAATACCAATAATAATAAAGTATTATTACACAGATAAAAAAAAGTCAGCTTAACAGTGAGATAACTATCAAAGTAAAACTCCTGGCACTCTAATCCTCCGGCTTCTTTAGGCGATAAGATAATAAAAGTGGGATCCTAGGTTGTTTCCATGCAATACGAACCCGAAAATGCCTGGAAAGTACTATGCAAATATTGGCCAGGAAGAAGGAAAATATTTTCCCTCTCCCTCCTCGCCTTGGAGACCCTGATGGCTCGCTCCACGTCGCTGGCTGGGCGTAGGGCTTGACCTAGACCGCGAAGTAGCCGAGTGACTGCCCCCTAAAATCTCCTAGACCCCATCCCCGGAGGCCCCGTTACTCAGGTCCCGCAGCGCGGCGCGCGAGTCCCGACGCCGGCTTCGCCCCTCCTCGCCCCTTCCCGCGTCTGCGATCGTCCTAACGGCTTCGGTCCCCAAGGCGGCCAGACCCTCGCCCTTCCCGGCCTCAGGCTCCGCCCCGCCGGGCTTCGTCCTCTCCGCGGTCTCTCCGCGCCTCCGGCCCCGCCCTCCCCCGCGGCCCCGCCCCTCCCCAGAGCCCGCTCCCCCTGTGGCTCCGCCCCACTCCTCCGCGTGGCCCCGCCCAGTTCCGGGCCCCGCCTAGCCGCGCGGCCCCTAGCCTTCGCCCGGTTTTTCGCGCCGCCGGATGTCTTTGCAGGCGGGCCGCGCCGCGCTCTCTCGGCTTCTCCGCCCTCTTCAGCCTGCTGCGCTCGCCACCATGAGCACTGGCACCTTCGTCGTGTCGCAGCCGCTCAATTACCGCGGCGGGGCCCGCGTGGAGCCGGCGGACGCCTCCGGCACCGAGAAGGCATTCGAGCCCGCAACCGGTAATGGACGCAGGCGGCCGGGCCGCGGCGGGCCGGGCTGACCTTCGACCCGGAGTGCTGAGGTCTCCCGCCGGCCTCATCCGGCTTAGCCGGGGTTCCCGAGCGGAGTGGAGTGTGTGGGGCGCCCTGCGACCTGCGGGGCCGCGAGTGCCTCTGGGCAGGGCGGGAGGGGGCTGGAGCCGGAGCTGGTGCGTCGTGAGGGATCTTGACGTCACGGCGGCCGGAGCCCCGCCGAGTCCGCGAAGCCCGGGGCGTGACCGTGGGCCTCTCGATTAAGTTTTGCGGCCAGGACCGCTGCAGAGTCTTCAGCTGCGTGCACGGGACAGGACTTCCAGAAGAACGCGGGGAGGGATAAACGCTTGTGCTGGGAATGGGAGCGGGATCGCAGATAATTTCTAATGAGCACGAATGAGGACTTTGTTTCTCTCTTCTAGTTTTAGAATACTTCTCTGCAGGAACCAGAATTGGGAAGCGAAAAAGCCCTGCCTATCCAGTACACCCCCCAGCTTTATTGAAGTGTAACTGACAATGAACATGGCATATATTGGAGGTGTAGATGATGCTTTAATATATGTATACATTGCAGAATGATCTCCACGATAGTTACCACTTTTTTTTTTTTTTTTTGAGTTGGAGTCTCACTCTGTCGCCCAGACTGGAGTGCAGTGGCCGCTCCCGGCCACCGCAGCCTCGACCTGCTGGGCTCCGGCGATCCTTCCGCCTCCGCCTTCCAAGTAGCTGGAACTACAGGCGCGCCACCACGCCCGGCTAATTTTTTGATTTATTGTAGAGACGAGGTCTTGCCACGTTGCCCGGGCTGGTCTCGAGCCCTCGGGCTCCCAAAGTGCTGGGTTTACAGGCTGAGCCACCGAGCCGGCCAGTTACCACTTTTTGGGTGGGGGAGGGGGTAGTGACAACATTTAAGAGCTATTCTCAGCAAATTTTCAGTACATAATGCACTATTTTAACCGTAGTCACCATGCTGTACACGAGATCTCCACAATTTATTCATCCTGCTTCACTGAATTCATCCTGCTTCACTGAAACTTTTTGATTCAGGGCTTAATGTGTGCCAAGCACTGTGCTAGGCACTGGATTACTCTGAAGAGCACAGAGCTGAGGAAGAGGCTTGTTAGTTTTTTGCTTTTTGTATTGTGTTTGCTGGGGTTTTTGGAATATTTGCGGGGAGAAAAATGTAAATATTTAAAAATGTAGCCAGAGTAGTAACACCACATTGCAAGGGACTAGAGAATTTAGGATTTGATTATTCACACTAAGCCACGCAGCAGTGACTTGGCAAGAGTGGAAGAGGCCACAGAAATCATTGCAGCTCTCCTTTACATATGAAGAAACAGCTTCTCTGCCTCCTCCAATATCAACACAAAATAAAGAAAAACAGCTCTTTATTTTAATTATGTACAGTGTGTGATCTTCAGTCATTGCATTTACCAACTGGCTATTTAAGAAACTGCAAGATTTGTGAAATTTCTCTGTAAAAAAGAGTTTTGGGAAGAGGATCTGCTGAATTGACATACTTAAATAATTCTTGTTAGAAAAGCTGATCATTTCATATTTTGCCCTAAATAGGGACAGGAAATAAAGTTGGAGTAAGAAAAAGAGAGCCTGGATTTTTTATTTGAGAAAAAAATATTCTTGCTTTAGGGATATCTTATCCTGATATTACCACTTGTTAGCCACATATGTCAAGTATCAGTAGTGTGGAACATATAAAATCAGTTAAATTACCTGGTAGATTGATTACATTTGACTTTGATTTTACAGGGCCCCTGATATTCTGAGACAATGTTAAGGAATATTGCCAAGTGATTTACAGGAAGTTAATGTTAGTAAACCCAACTATAAAATAAGGGAGAACAGGGGTGTTTAACCTTAAATTCATGAATCTAGGGCAGGGGACGTGATCTCTAATTCTGTGATGTGGTTTAATACGTTTTTCTGGAGCAAGGTTTGCAACTTTTATCTTGACTCTTAAAAGGGATCAGTGACTGCAAAATATAGTTAAGAACTGCTAGTATGGAGGCGATCACTGAATCGAACCATTAATAAGAACAGGAAGAAGATTTCCCCCCTTTTCTATATATTTTATTTATATAATATGATTCCACTTTATATATAGTGTTTGGTCTTACTTTTAAAATACATTCTAAGCATGTCATTGCTTAGAATGTATTTTATTACAAACTTTTCATAGTGTAATTTTTAGCAAGTATAAAACAAGGAAGGAGATTCTTAAGAGAATGTTGATATATAATATTTTATTTAAATGTGTGGCAACAATTTGAAATGAAACTTTCTCCCTCTTTATAGGTCGTGTGATAGCTACTTTCACATGTTCAGGAGAGAAGGAAGTAAATCTGGCTGTCGAAAATGCAAAGGCTGCCTTTAAAATATGGAGTCAGAAGTCTGGCATGGAGAGATGCCGGATCCTGTTGGAGGCTGCCAGAATAATAAGGGTATGTTTTCATTTATTTCCTTTCAGAAAACTCATCATACATTGTTCTGAGGGGCCTTCGTGATGATTTGCAGTTAGACATTGAAGCAAAAAATGGCAAAACATCTCCACATGCTCACCTTGGTATGTAAAACAAGCTTTTATTCCGTAACTCCTGTCTGGATCTTGGCTCCTAGACATCTCCCTTGGCAGGTTTTCATTTCTTTATTTTGAGTTATAATGTACTCTTTGTAGCTTGTCTCCTTTTCTCTTTAAACTATGCTTGTATACTTGTTTCCTTTCTTTTTTTTTTGAATTGAGTTCTCACTTTGTCGTCCAGGCTGGAGTGCAGTGGCACGACCACGACTCACTGCAGCCTTGACCTCCTGGACTTAGTAGATCCTTCTGCCTCAGCCTCTTGAGTAGTTGGGACTACAGGTACAGTTGTATGCCACCATGTCCAGCTTATTTTTTAATTTTTGTAGAGATGAATTCTCGCTATGTTGTCTAGGCTGGTCTTGAACTCCTGGGCTCAAGCAGTCCACCTGCCTCAGTTTCCCAAAGTGTTGGAATTACAGGCATGAGCTACCTTGCAGGCCTTGTTTCTCTTTATTCTTTCTTCTGTTGGTCCTCAAGTTTACCTTTCATTTTTAGATGTTTTCAGACAAGGTTTTGTTTCTTTAATTGTCCTGGAAGAACTTAAGGAGTCATAGATGTTCCATTAAAAGATAAATTAAGCTTTTTATAGTCTTAAGGATCCAAAATACTAGGTGCTCATGACAGAAAGTTAGAAAATTCAGAAGAATATACTCAAAATACGAATCATGGATATCTCTGAGTGGTAGGACTGTGGTGACTTTTTGTCCTAAGTGTGTAAAATCAGAAACTGTGAAGGGTCTGAGAATTATCCTCTTTGCAAAGATGTATATATTCAAAAGCAGGGGCATTAGGCTTTTTGGATCACAAGAAAAGATGGGTTGTTATTCACAGCAAAATGCAGCAGCCAGAGCAATACCTTAGCACTAGTTTTCCAAGCCCCAGGCAGGCCCCGTGAGATATGGTGAGAGCTGGGCGAGAGCCCTGTGCATGCAGCGGGTTGCATGACAGGAGAGGAACCCTAAAATCAGGAGACTCGTTTTACAGAGGGCACATCTCCCCATCTTCTCCTCTGGAGAGAGACAAAGATTGCTCATTAAGCACATCTCCAGGGATGAGAGGGAAGATGTCACTAGGCCTGTTATCTGGAATGTAAGCATATGTTTCTAGGAACAGGAAGTAGACAGCCTTACAACTTAATCTCTCCAGAGATCTCTGTCTACAGGGAGACACTGTCTCTGCCTTCCAAGGCCTTTGCCATTCAGTATCAGCTTGCCAGTGCCATCTGCTCAGAAAGCCCAGACTGTTCAGAAATATCAAATGTTCATGGAGAATTTTCCCCCAACAAAATATAGAATATTAATATTCCCTTATTGTTAAACATGAATTTTAATTTCATAGACCAAAACTGACAACACTCAAAGCCGATAATTTATTATTTTAACGTGTCCTTCGTTTTTTCTTAGCGCATGTGCAGCATGTAGAGTTGTTAAGAATTGTCTCTTTTACCATTATGAAATGACTTGCTCTGAATGAGATTAGCTAGTATTTTTTGCTCTGACATCTATTGTCTTGATGTTTTCCTTTTCCTTTCCCGCACCTACTCCCATTTCCTTTGATACCTATGTGTTGTTTCATTAATCAACAACCTGTTACTGCTTTTCTTTGAAGCTCTGGTGTGATCATCATGCGCTGGACCTGCCTTCTCCCACAATCATTCCATAACTGAGTGAGTCCCACTCTCTAACCACAGCCCACAATTGCCTTCGCCTTCAGTGATTGCTTTTACTTATTTTTCTAGTTCATCAAGGTCTGTAGTTCTTTGCTCCTTCCATTTTTCTATAATAAACAGTTATCTTTTTAAAAGATTTTGAACATAAGGTAAAATATTTCCTGTTTACCCACACATGTGCCATTTGGGGTGCTCTTTGTTCCTTTGTGTGAACTCAGATTTCTACCTGTTGTCATTTTGCTTCTATTGGAAGGAGTTTCTGTAGTATTTCTTACAGTACAGGTCTGCTGGTGTTCTTTCAGACTTTGTATAGCAAAAAAAAAAGTCTTTATTCTGCTTCATTTTTAAAATAATTCTGGGTAGATAACTATATGTTGACAGTTTTTTTCTTTCCATACTTTAGAGATATGGCTCTGCTATCTTTGTGTTTTAGAAAAGAACGTTGCTGTAATTTTTTTTTTTTTAGTCAGAGTATCACTCTGTCACCCAGACTGGAATGCAGTGGCACATGAGCCTTCTGCCTCCTGAGTAGTTAAGACTATGGGCATGCACCACCAAGCCTGGCTAATTTTTAAATTTTTTTGTAGAGACAAGATCTCACCATGTTGCGTAGGCTGATCTTGAGTTCCTGGGCTCAAGCAATCCTCCTGCTTCGGCCTCCCAAAGTTCTGGGATTATTAACTTTTTTGTTCCTCTGTGTATAATGTGTTTCCCCCACCACTGGCTGTTTTAAGATTTTTCTCCTTATCATCAATTTTAAGCAGTTTGGTTATAATGTCTTTTGGCGTGATTTCTTCATATTTTTCTGTTTGAGGTTTATTCATCTTGAATCTATATTTATAGTGTCATTAAATTCAGAAAAAGTTTGCCAGGTGCAAGGGCTGAATGAAGCCTGTGATCCCAGAACCTTGGTGGGTGGAGGCAGGAGGATTGCTTGAGACTAGCCTGGGCAGCATAGCAAGACTTCGTCTATACAGAAAATAAAAAATTAGTTGAATGTGGTGGTGCGTACCTGTAGTCCAAGCTACTCGGGAGGCTGAGATAGAAAGGTCATCTGAACCCTGCGGTGAGCTGTGATCATGCTACTGCCCTCCAGCCTGGGTGACAGAGTGAGACCCTGACTCAAAAAAAATTTTTTTTGGAAAAGTTTTGGCCATCATCTCTTCCGATGTTTCTTCTGCCCCTTCGTCTATCTCTTTTCCTTCAGGGCCTCCAGTTACAGAGATGTTGGGCTCCCTGAAGCCATTCCACAAGTCATTGATGCTCTGTTGTTGTTTTTTTTCCTGTTTGGTGTATGTGGTATTTTCTTTCTCAGCACTCTCTTCCACCCCAGTGTGTGTTTTATTTCCCATAATTTTTACGTTTCTTGTTTACTGATCTTTTCCCACCAACCAGCATAAGAAAAACCTCATGAATACACAGAGCATGGGGTTAAGTGATGAGAAAGGTATTCAGTAATGAGGCAAAATTAGCTGATCTAAAAGCAAGGCTTGCAGAATCAAAATGATTCTAAGTACATCACTGTGCCCCAGAACAAAACTCTTTTCTTCTGTAGTGATCTTTTCTTCTGTAGTGCTATTAATCTCATACAGTATATTTCACATTCCTAGAAAGTTAATTCAGGTCTTTTGTGTGAGTGTTCCTTGTCTCTCCTTAGGATGCTCATGTTTTCTTGGCCTTCTTGAAATCTGTTACAGTAACTTAATGTCCTTGTCTGTAATTCTATTACTTCTTATTTCTGGATCTATTTCTATTGATTAATTTTGCCACCTGGTTAAATGTTATAGTTTTCTGCTTTTTGCATGCCTGGTAATTTTTAATCACTAGACACTTGATCTCTAGTGAGTCACTAGTGCATATTATTTTATTGGGAGCTGAATATTATTGTACTTTTTTGCGGGGGGACATCTCACTTTTTGCCCTGGATATGGAATGTAGTGGCACAATAATAGCATACTCTATCCTCCACCTTCTGGGTTCAGGCAATCCTTCCTCCTCAGTCTTCCGAGTAGCTGGGACTACAGACGTGCACCACCATGCTGGCTAAGTTTTTGACTTTTTTGTAGAAATGAGGACTCCCTCTGTTGCCTAGCTAGTCTTGAACTCTTGGGCTCAAGCATCTTCCCACCTTGGCCTCTCAAAATGCTAACATTACAAGCTTGAACCACCACACCTGGCTTCTTGTACTTTTAAAAATACTGTTTTTATTCTGGTTTTTTTGGTAAAAATGGGATCTTGCTATGTTGCCCAGACTCCTGCTTTTCAAGTAATCATTCCTTCTCAGCGTCCCAAAGTGCTAGGATTATAGGCATGCACCACTGTGCCCAGACAAAGAATATTCCTGAGTTTTGTTCTGGGGCACAGTGATGTACTTAGAATCATTTTGATTCTGCAAGCCTTGCTTTTAGATCAGCTAATTTTGCCTCATTACTGAATACCTTTCTCATCACTTAACCCCATGCTCTGTGTATTCATGAGGTTTTTCTTATGCTGGTTGGTGGGAACATGAACTATATCTGGCCCTGCATGTGTTCTGGGGATTTTTTTTTTTTTTTTTTTACCTTTTCCAGCATGAGTAGCTTTTTCCAGCCTTGGATAGTTTCCTCACCCTCAGAGGGCAGGCACTCTGCAGATTTGCAGAGTTCTCTCTCTTTGCAGCTTTTCCGCGCTCAGCCTTGAAGATCAGAGCCACTGTATATTCCCAGCCTCAACTCAGGGTGTCTGCAGGACCCATCTAGGTTCCTCCCGTTGTTCTGTGACCTGAAAACTCTCCAGGCCATAGGCCACAGCAATCGTGAGGCCCAGCTCATTGGTTTCCCTCTCAGGGATCACTGCCCTGAGCTGCCTAATGTCTGGTGTCTGAAGGTTGTTGTTCATGTATTTTATGTGGTGTTTTTAGTCGTTTAAGGTCAGGGAGTAAATCTGGTTTCAGTTAATCCATCTTGGCTAGAAGCCTATTGATTTCTAGTGGAAATGAATAGGTTTTCCCATGTTTATTAGTCCTATGTTCTCATTTTTACTTTGAATTCTTTGGTACTTTTACCAGAATATAAGATCTTATCTGTGGGACTCAGTCATTTTTCAGTGGAATTCTCCTTATGAAAGTAGCTATTATGTGACTTAAAAGGAGAGTGAGGGCTGGGTGTAGTGGCTCACACCTATAATCCCAGCACTTTGGGAGGTGACAGAATTGCCTGAATCCAGGGGTTCGAGACCAGCCTGGGCAACTTGGCAAGACCTCATCTCTACAAAAAATTAAAAAAATTAGCCAGGCATTAGCATGGTGGCACAAGCCTGTAGTTCCAGCTACTTGGAAGGCTGAGGCATAAGGATCACCTGAGCTCAGCAGGTTGAGGCTGCAGTGGCCGTGAGCGTGAGTGTGCCACTGTGTTCCAGCCTGGGCAACAGAGTGAGACTCCCACTTAAAAAAAAAAAAATGGAGAGGGAGAATGTTATTTAAAATGATGACAGCACTATTCAAATGAAGACAAGATTGTGTGTGGAAATGATCCCCTTGTCTTCAGCCCAGGCCCAGGTCAGTGTGTCTTACACAGGCTACCAGAGCAAACCTCCTGTGGGTATATGTGTGGCCATGGTATCATGGGTGAAGTTGCCCACAGTCCTCAGTGTGGCCTACAGGCCCTTGTTTCTCCAGCCTCACCTTTCTCTTCACACCTGTAAACCCTACACTTTCTCCCGTACTGCCGACTCTTCCTCCCTGGCCATGCATGCACTGTCACATCCCATAGTTCAGCATGTGCTGCAGTGCAGAACTTGGTGCTGTTCCTTTGTTTTTCTTACTCCTGTGCTGTGTTTTTAGCATTTAGTGGGCTATGCTATAATTCATTCCTCTCTGTCTCCATTTTTTCTTTCTTTGCATGGTGCTTTTTGTACATAACTGTGTAACTACCAAAAGCATCTTGAGATGGCACTGTTATTCCACCTATTTGACAAATGAGAAAAAACACACTCAGAAAGGTTAAGTAGCTTGTCTAAAGTTGTAAAGCTAGTAAGTGTACGAGCTGGTCTGTTGAGCTTCAAAGTGAGACACTGAAGGCTCCAACGGGTTTGCAGTGAGCGGGAGAGATGAGGACCTGCCCTTTGCTTGCTGGCTTTCATCCCTGTGGCTTTCTGGTCAGGTCATGTTGTGAAACCGAGTCGTATGGAGGAAGAGAAGGGCTGGGTACAGAGCTTGTATTTCTCGGAGATACTTGTGGCAGTATGTTCTCATGGGGGCAGTTTTATCTTATGGTAGTTCTTGTAGTAGTAGCAGGCAGAAGATTTTTACTGTTTCCCTCTCCTTCTGTCTTCTGCTTCAGGAGGATAAGGGAATCCCATTTTCCCTAAAGCAGTATTAACTGTCATGTGGATCCTTTGGTAATTTTTGTCAGGGCCATCTTTGGTAATCCTTATGAAGTATATCAGAAGAAGATCTCATCATGATCTTCGGTAAATAACTTTTTTTGTAAGGATGGAGAATAATAGAGCAAGACAGGAAAATTTTCCTGACGACAGGTAGTAAATTGAATTTTCTCTGAAAGTTGAAACCTTGAAGCAGTCCCCAAGCTAGTTGCTTATCCATTATTTTAAAAAAAGAAAGTCTCAAGAGTAAACAGTACTTTCTACTGTTAGTAAATATTCCAGTGCTTAGCAAGGACAGTCCAGATTAATTCCTGTTTGTTCACTTGTGTGTGAAAGTGGAAGCAGAACAGTGTATCACTGTTGCCAGTGTAATAGGCTTCGTATATTTGATATATCATCACTTTATTCAGCTTATGAAGCAGATAGTACTTACTTCCTCTCTAGGGCCCAGTTTTCCTCTTATGTTCTAGAAACAAAATTTAAACTACTTCTGGTTGATCATATCTTTGGAAAACTGTTACATGTTAATCATACTCAAAAAATTTAAGAGTGGGGTATAATTTTTTATTTGAGTTGAGGTCCCACTCTGCCACTCAGACTGGAGTGCAGCAGCACAATCACAGTTGCTACAGCCTCACTCCTGGGCTCAGATGATCCTTTCACCTCAGCGTCTCAAGTAGCTGAAACTACAGGCACCTGCCACCACGCCCAGCTAATTTTTAAATGTTTTGTAGAGATCAGGTCTCTCTGAATTGCCTAGGCTGGTCTTGAACTCCTGGGCTCAAACAGTCCTCCTGCCTAGGCCCCCCAAAGTATTACAGGTGTGAGCCACCACACCCAGCCAAGAATGGGGAATAATTTGATGTGACTTATGAATTGCTGCTTTTCATCCTAGGTACCCTGTTTCTAGTATCAGTGTACCGGGAAATGAGGTAATTGTTCAAAGATTGTTTTGGTGAATATAGAATCAGTAGGAGATGGTGACTAACTGGTTCAAAAGAGAATTAGTGTAGATCATGTTTGGATGCGAACTAATTATCCTGTCTGTAGGAACATGTCTATTCAGAAATTGCAGTACTTATTTAGGTCTTACTAGCTTCTCCTTTCAGATGTAAGTCATTGAAGGTGGAGACTGGATTGATACTCTATTTTCTGGTAATTAATGTGGAATGAATGAACCGAAGAACTTTATGCCTCCAGTCGTTATAGAAATACAACCTGTCTAGTTCTCACTACTGTACTGTCATTTCCTGTATTTCATATTGATTTTCATAGTTCTGTTCCATCTTTTCTGAGATTTGTACTGTGGATAGATGCTGTGTTAGTTTCTATTGTATTCCATTTGCTTCTGATCAGCCTTACTGTTGATCAGTTGTTGGTTTGTTTTGTTTTGTTTGTTTTTTGAATCAGGGTCCCACTCAGTCACCCAGGCTGGAATGCAGTGGCATGATCACTGCTCACTGTAGCTTCAACCTCCTGGGCTCAGGCGATCCTTCCACCTCAGCCTCCTGAGCAGCCGGGACTACAGGCATGCACCACCATGTCCAGCTAATTTTTTGTTTTTTTGTAGAGACAAGGTCTTGCAACATTGCCTAGACTGGTCTGGAACTCCTGTACTCAAGCAATCCTCCTTCCTTGGTTTCCCAAAGTGCTAGGATTACAGGTGTGAGCCACTATGCCTGGCAACGATCAGTTCTAATAAGAGAATGCTTCTTGGCCAGGTGCAGTGACTCAAGCTTGTAATCCTAGCACTTTGGGAGGCTAAGGTGAGAGGATTGCCTGAGCCCATGGGTTTGAGAACAGCCTGGGCAACTTGGAGAGACCTCATCTCTATAATAAATCAAAAAATTAGCTTGGCATGGTAGCATGTGCCTGTAGTTCCGGCTACTTGGAAGGCTGAGGCTGAAGGATCGCCTGAGCCCAGCAAGTCGACGCTGGGGTAGCCATGAGCATGCTGCTGCACTCCAGCCTGGGCGATGGAGTGAGACTCCAACTCAAAAAAAAAAAAAAGAAAGAAAGAGAATGCTTCTTGTCAGTTGCTTGATTCATCTATTATGTATGTTCTGATAGTCACCCTGTTGTTTACTTTAAATGAGATCCACACTAGCAATTGTCAATTTTTTACATATTCGATTATTTTATGTTCTTTAGGCCAAAGAAAGACATTATTTAACCTTCCTTTTTAGGTCTAATTTGGTAAACCTTTAGGCTCATCCCTGGACCATCTCGAGAATGTCCTTATCCTTAGTAAGTTGTGGAGGCCAGAACTAGAAACAGCATTGGAAAACAGTATCTATGGGTGTGAGTGTTAGAAAGTATGCTGTTTTATATAATTTCCTTAAGGGCTGTTCTCTCTTACCAAATATGTGCAAGCGTATTTGCACATATACGTCTATACCATTCATTTCTCAAAATGTTCTTTTACTAACTATTCTTACTTTTATTTATTTATTTTTTTTTGAGTTGGAGTCTCACTCTGTCGCCCAGACTGGAGTGCAGTGATCACTCCCGGCCACCGCAGCCTCGACCTGATGGGCTCCGGCGATCCTTCCGCCTCAGCCTTCCAAGTAGCTGGAACTACAGGCATGCATTAACCATGCCCGGCTAATTTTTGATTTGTTGTAGAGATGAGGTCGACTCGCCAAGTTGCCTAGGCGGGTCTCGAACCCGCAGGCTCAGACAATCCACTCACCTCGGCCTCCCAAAGCGCTGGGATTACAGGCTGAACCACTGAGCCCAGCCCTAACTATTCTTGAAATGAAGTTGTGGTTTTAAATCTTTGCCTGTTAACTTGAGGGGAAGAACAAGGATGCTGTTTAACTGTAAGATTTTCTCTCTCTTCTAAATGTAACACTTCCATTTCTTTTCATTTAAAGTGCAAGCTGCTTCCATTTTTAAAAATGGAGCAATGTGTTCCTTTTAGGCATTGGCCATATTGAGACATAACATAATTATATGTCTTAAATCTAGTCTCTTGTTCTGCCCAAGGAACAGCGAGATGAAATTGCCACTGTGGAGAGCATCAACAATGGCAAGTCCATCTTTGAGGCCCGCTTGGACATTGACATTTCCTGGCAGTGCCTGGAGTACTATGCAGGCCAGGCTGCATCCATGGCTGGTACGTCCTCACCTGGCCTCTGTGACTAGTCAGTCAGGGGACAGAAGAACATAGCCTAGTGGTGAAGGGCAACAATTTTGGCATTTAGATAGACGTGGGTGGCCTGGGAATTACTTGATCGTTTCCTAGCTAAACTGGGATAGTAATCCATACCTTCTTGGGTTGTTTTAAGGATCAAATGAGATAATGCATGTCAAGCACCTAGCATGGTGCTTGAGTTTTAGAGCTAGTTGCTAAAAAAACCAGTTCTCACAAGAATTGGTATGTCATGTTTACTGGTTTTATCGACTTAGCAAAAATTTTTTTTTAGTAATGTATAAAGTTTACAACAATTGATACTGATGGTTGGTAGGGCCAAGGAGGGCTGTGGGGAGCCCAGAATCTTCCCCTGTGGCTAAGTCTTCCCCTCATTTCCATTTCATCTAGGTTATCTAATAGAGACTCAACAAACCTCTAGAGAATCGGGTCGGGTTGGATGGATGTGTGTTTGCAAGATAGGTGGGATTCTCTGTGTGAAGAGAGTGAGCGGGAGCCTGTGTGATGATGGTGATGAGTTAAGCCAGTGTCCTGGGTTGTGAGGATGCTGGTCTGACTGGAGCACACGTGGGCCGGTGTACTCGTGTAGGCATGGCTGAAGTCCTGGGTAGCACAGACTGTCCTAACTTATTCCTGTTTTCCCCATAGGTGAACACATCCAGCTCGCAGGCGGGTCCTTTGGCTATACCCGGAGAGAACCACTTGGGGTGTGTGTGGGCATTGGAGCATGGAACTACCCTTTTCAGATTGCCTCTTGGAAGTCAGCTCCAGCATTAGCGTGCGGTGAGAATGAGTCATTCCTCCACTTGGGAGCCACCGTTCTTCCTCATCACCTGTTCTCTACCCCTCACTTCTTCCTAAGCTCAGAGGGCCGTGCTGGAGAAAGCCAGAGTCTCAGGGCCATGGCCTCATTCCTGCCCTGTCTTGCCCCTCAAGGAGCTTACAGTGCGAGTAGGACACAGAGCATGTCTAGATATTCCCATTGTTTATCTAATTTGTTTTTGTACATGGAATGGAAGAAAGTTAATTTTTTCCTGTTAAATTGAATTAGATTTGTGCTACTCTTAAGTCTCGTTCTGGACAGGAATTTCTATGTAGGGGGTAGCATTGAGGAGTCCACTTCACTTAGGAAGCAGAAGGTAAACTCCTTTCTCCTTTGTGACTTACGGGAATGATAAACAGGACTTCTACCAGGGAAGCTTTGACTGATTGACTTTTTATTTAAAGAGAAGAACCTGTGGGAAAGGAAGACTTATCATATCTTAGAAAAAGCTGTGATATTAAAAAAGCGTTACTGCTGAGGCCGAAGGATCGCTGGAGCCCAGCAGGTCGAGGCTGTGGTGGCCGAGAGCGGCCACTGCACTCCAGTCTGGGCGACAGCCAACTCAAAAAAAAAAGAAAAGCGTTACTGTTAGGACATGTTGAAAGGCAGCTTTTGTGCTATTGGCATTGCATGTATTTTCTCTAACCTATTTATGTTTGAGAGACAGCTGTGTTAGAGGAGAGATATCTCAGAATTAAGCCACTAGCTTTGGGGACTCTCATCAGATGAACCTTTCTGGTCTTCAGTTTCAACTTTTGTAAAATGGGGCTGATCATACCTACTTCTTACTGCTGTTGCAGATGTTAAATGAGATAGTATATGTGAAAAGTTCTTACGTGCAAGTGCGACGTATTACTGTTTGAGACTGGGCAATCATAGGGTTTGAAGTCTGTTTAATGAGAGAAACAAAGGTGAAAAAGGCAACATGTTGGCTTCTTGGCAACATTTTTGTTTTAATATTTGATGGGGGGGACTGGAAGCAATTGGAGTCATTCTTGACTTGTGCGCTAGTCCTGTCCTCAGGATCACCAGTCCTAAAAAGCCTTTCTGTGTTCATGTCTTGGGTTTTTGCAGGTAACGCCATGGTCTTTAAACCTTCTCCTTTTACACCTGTTTCTGCATTGCTACTGGCTGAAATCTACACGAAGGCTGGGGTACCTCCTGGGCTTTTCAATGTGGTACAAGGAGGTGCTGCCACAGGCCAGTTTCTGTGCCAGCATGGTGACGTGGCAAAAGTCTCCTTCACTGGAAGTGTGCCCACTGGCACTAAGGTGAGGTTGAACCAGTATTACCTAACACAAGTGGCATGTAGACATGGCAAAGCCAGGCCTACCCAGACTGCATTTTGGAGGCTTCTCTTATGATTCTCTAGTTTGTATTGGGAACGGGGCAGGAGATTTTACTGGGCAAAGGTCTGAAGCTCCCCGTAGAAGTGTGAAGGGGAAGGGAGCACACACGGGTGATTTGTGTTAGGCCAGGGTGGGCGGAGAGTGAAGCGGATAGAAGTGGAAGTTACTATCTCCTACCTGAGACGATGAGTCTGAGTGAGCAGGGACCTGGGCTGCCACTTGGACTGTTTGGTGACTTAATTTCTCGTATCAAAGGAAGGGTGTTTTCTGAGATTCATCTTTTTGATGTTAATTGGTGCCTTAAACACAGTAATAGTAACACAAAAGAATTTTTGGCTTATATCAATAATAGTCTTGTGAATTGACAATATTTTTTTAAATGAATGCCTCTTCAGAATGTCAAATGCAGTTCTGTGGATTCTCTTCATTTTCTGGAAAATAATTTTTTTTTTATTGGGGTCTCATTCTGTCACCCAGGCTAAAGTGCAGTGGCACAGTCATGGTGGCTGTTGTAACCTTGACCTGTGGGACTCAGACAATCGTTTCACCTCAGCCTCTTGAGTAGTTGGAGTACAGGTGTGCACCATCATGCCTGGCTAATTTTTTGATTTATCGTAGAGACAGGGTCTTGCCAAGTTGCCCAGGCTGGTTTCGAACCCTTGGGCTCAGGCAGTCCTCTTGCCCTGGTCTCCCAAAGTACTGGGATTACAGGTGTGAGCCACTGCACCAAACCAGAAAAGAATATTTTAATAGATAAAGGACGAAGTGTGTTGACAAGAATAAGGCTGTAGGTCATATATACACAGTTCAGGAAGACATTGTAGGTTCAGATGTAGGCCTAGTATGCAATCTAATTTCTGTTTAACTTCTTCTGAATGCTCTGTTCTCTTTCTGTAAGATTATGGAGATGTCAGCTAAAGGAATCAAACCTGTCACCTTGGAACTTGGAGGCAAGTCTCCACTCATCATCTTCTCAGACTGTGATATGACCAATGCTGTGAAGGGGGCACTAATGGCCAACTTCCTCACACAAGGCGAGGTATGTACCTGTCCCTGGGAAGGGGGTCAGAGGAATCCTCACCCCTTCATTTAGCAGTGTGTTTTAAAGCTTTTTATTTTGAAATATTTTCAGACTTTGTTGCACACGTAGTACAAAGAATTCCCATGTATCCTGGAATTGATTTTTCAAATATGAATATTTTATTATTTTTATTTTTTTGAGTCGGAGTCTGACTCTGTTGCTCAGGCTGGAGTTCAGTGGCACACTGCTCACAGCCACTGCAGCCTCAACCTGCTGGGCTCAGGAGATCTTTCACTGCAGCCTTCCAAGTAGCTGGAACTACAGGTGTGCGCCACCACACCCAGCTAATTTTTTGATTTATTGTAGAGACAAGGTCTTACCATGTTGCCCAGGCTGGTCTCAAACTTGCGGGCTCAGGCAATCCTCTCACCTCTGCCTAAATAATATTTTAACACATTTACTGTGTTATTCTCTTTGTCTGTTTATACATACATATGCATATTATTAAGTTTTTCTGAACTCTTTGAAAGTAAGCTATAGTCACATAGTCATAAGGCCCCTAACCTGTAAATATGAAGTTCCTAAACGCAAGTGCATTCATTTATATAAGCACAGTACACATAGTAAAATTAACAAATTAACACTGATATAGTACTATTACTCCATCTATTGCCCTTTTCAAATTCTGTCATTTGTTTAACAAATGTCCTCTTAGCAAAAGACAATAAATTTTTTTTTCTGATCCAGGATCCCATCCTTTGTCTTTAATTTTCTTTAATTAGAAATAGTTCTTCAATTACTATCTTTCATTTTTGAAGAAGACAGGCCATTTGTTTTGTATGGTATCCCTTATTTTGGGTCTGTCTGATGTTTCCTGTTAGAATAATACCATGCATTTTTGGCAAAAATAACACTGACATGGTGTGGTGTCCTTCTCAGTGGAGAGTTAGCTTTTATCTTGCTTTAAGATGATTCTTCACTGTAAAGTTACTGTTTTTTCCTTTGTGGTAAATAAGATTTTGTAGGAGGTATTTTGAGACTATCATGTTCCTCATCAAACTTTCACCCAGTAGTTTTATCACTCACTGATGATTCTTGCCAAAAACAGTTTTTATAATGGTGGTTTTATGGTTCCCTCATTCCTTCTATATTTATTAATTTACCTTTTACTGTAAGAAAGAACTAGCCGGGCTCGGTGGCTCAGCCTGTAATCCCAGCACTTTGGGAGGCCGAGGCGAGTAGATTGCCTGAGCCCGCGGGTTCGAGACCCACCTGGGCAACTTGGCGAGACCTCGTCTCTACAATAAATAAAAAATTAGCTGGGCGTGGTAGTGTGCCTGTAGTTCTGGCTACTTGGAAGGCTGAGGCAGAAAGATCGCCGGAGCCCAGCAGGTTGAGGCTGTGGTGTCTGGGAGTATGCCACTGCACTCCAGTCTGGGTGACAGAGTGAGACTACAACTAAAAAAAAAAAGAAAGAAAAAACTGGCCTTTCTCCTCTGTTTTTCATTTACTTATTTACATCTGTGTGGACCTGGGGTTCTTAGTTCATTTTATGGGTTATAATCTATTAACATCATTATTTATTTTGATGCTCAAATAATTATAGATTTGGTTAGTGGGAGCCTCTTTCATGACCTTCTGATAAATCATCATTATTCTTAGAGCACTTCTTTACTTTCTGGCACAGAAATGAGTCTGTCCTAGACTCATCTCTACTTTCCCTGGCCAAGCCCTGGAATCAGCTGTTTCTCTAAAGGAGCCCTGGTTCCATTTAGTGGTAAATGGTATTTAGAGACAAGATCTGAGGACCAGGTGTGCTCACTGCTGCCGGGATATCATTGCTCCTAGGCCCCCTCTGAGACCAGTGATAGGAAGTACATATTTGTATATACTCGTATGCACATCCCTATATATATGTCTAGCTAGATAAATAACCAGTGTGGGAGGATTGCTTGAGCCCAGGAGTTTGAGACCAGCCTGGGCAACATAGTGAGACCTTTTCTCTACCAAAATAAAATAAAATAAAAGTCAGGTATAGTCCCATCTACTTGGGAGGCTGAGGTGAAAGGATTGCCTGAGCTCACTATATTCCAGCCACTGCACTCCAGCATGGGCACAGAATAAGCCCTCACTCAAAAATAAAATAAAATAAAATAACATATTCATTTGTTTCTGTTGGTGTTTTATGTGAGTTTTATTTTCCCCCATCCTTGGTGATTTAAAAATTTATTTTGATTGAGTGAAATACTAACATGGTTCTACATGTCCACATTTTACAGAAAGCCACACTCAGACTCTTCCCCATCCCTTCTACCTGTTCCCAGTACCTCCTTCCCACCCATTCCTGTCCATTTCCTGCAGGAAGACAGACTAATTTGTTTCTGGGTTTTCCTTCCTGTGTTCCTTTTTGCACAGATGAACAGATGCTTGTATATTTATTTCCTCTTCTTTCATAAAAAGCATATTAAAGGCACTCTTTTGTAAATATCCTGACAGTCGTTTCATTTCATGGGGACCTTTACTCTTTTTTGCAGCTGTATAATACTGTTCATTGTGTTAGTTCATAAACTATAGTTTATGCAACCATTCTTCTCTGTATGGACATTTAGGTGGTTTCCAGTATTTTGTGATTACAAACAGTGCTGCAGTGAATAACCATGTGCATGTGTATTTTCATATTGTTGGAGATATATTTTCAGAGCAAATTTCTAGAAGTAGTAAATGTATATGTAATTTTGTGTGACCTTTTAAAAAATAACAATTGTATCTATTTCCATTATACAATTTAGTAACTATAGTCATTATGCTGTACATTGGATCTCTATTTATCTGATATAATTTCAACCTTGTGCCCTTTGACTAACATTTCTGTGCCCCTACTCCTGATAACTAATGGTCTGTTCTCTGCTTCTATGTATTTAACTTTTTTTTTTTTTTTTAGTTGGAGTCTCACTCCATTGCCTAGGCTGGAGTACAGTGGCATTCTGATAGCCATCCCAGCATTGACCTGCTGGGCTCAGACGATCCTTCTGCCTCAGCCTTCCAAGTAACTGGAACTACCAATTTTTTGATTTATTGTAGAGATGAGGTCTCGCCAAGTTACCCAGGCTGTTCTGGAACCCGTGGGCTCAGGCAATACCCTCACCTTGGACTCCCCAAGTGCTGGAATTGTAGGCTTGAGCCACCATGCCCGGCCTTATGTATTTAACTTTTAAAATACTTTACATATATGTGAGATTAGGCATTATATTTCATTCTATATCTGACTCATTTCACTTAATATAATGTTTTCCCTGTTCATCCATGTTGTTGCAAATGGCAGGATCTCCTTTCTAAAGGCTGGATAATATTTCATTATGTATATATATTTAAAATATTGTTTAAAAATATATATTGTTTTATTTCTTTTTTTATTCTTTATAATATATATTGTTTTAAAATATTGTTTTTGTTTTTGTTGATAGTAGTCATCCTGGGGGGTGTGAAGTGGTGTATCATTGTGGTTTTTATTTGCATTTTCTTAATGATTAGTGATGTTGAGTGCATATATAATTTTATAAGATATTGCCAAGTTCTTCTCCCAAAGGAAAAATTGCATTCCTGTTAACAATGTATGAGTACTTATTTACCTTATGGAATATGATAACATATTCTTAATGGAATATGTTATCATAATTTAAAATTTTTGTGAGATAGATGAGAAATGATATATTAGTATAGTTTTAATTTCTTTCTTTTTTTTTTTTTGAGCTGGTGCCCAGACTGGAGTGCAGTGGCACGCTCCCGGCCACCGCAGCCTTGACCTGCTGGGCTCTGGCGATCCTTCCACCTCAGCCTTCCAAGTAGCTGGAACCATAGGCGTGTACTACCATGCCCAGCTAATTTTTTATTTATAGTAGAGTTGTGGTTGACTTGCCAAGTTGCCCAGGTGGATCTCGAACCCACGGGCTCAGGCAGTCCACTCACCTCAGCCTCCCAAAGTGTGGGATTACGGCAGTCCACTCACCTCAGCCTCCCAAAGTGTGGGATTACAGGCTGAGCCACCAAGCCCGGCTTAGTTTTAATTTCAGTTCTCCAATTATGAGTGAGATTGAACATCTTTTTCTAAATTCACGTATAGTAAAGTTTACATTTTTAGTGTATTGTACTGTGAGATTTGATTCTCCCTCAATTTTTATAAGTTCTTTAAATATTAGTGATAATAGCTTTTGTGTTTTGAGTTGGAGTCTCACTCCATTGCCCATGCTGGAGTGCAGTGCCATGCTCGCCGCCACCCCAGCGTCGACTTGCTGGGCTCAGGAGATCCTTCTGTCTCAGCCTTCCAAGTAGCTGGAACTACAGGCGCATGCTAGCACACCCAGCTGATTTTTTGATTTATTGTAGAGATGAGGTCTCACCAAGTTGCCCAGGCTGTTTTCAAATCCGCAGGCTCAGGCAGTCCTCTCACCTTGACCTCCCAAAGTGCTGGGATTATAGACTTGAGCCACTGTACCCAGCCAATTATAACCTTTTATCTGGGATAAATATTGCAAATATCTTCTTCTAGTTTTTCAGTTGTCTTGGCTTAGTTTAGGGAATTTGCCATGCAAATCTTTTTATTTTTATGAAGTCAAATTTATTAGTTTTTGTCTTCATTGTATCTAGATTTTGAGTAATAGTTTAGCATCTTTTCTTGCACTTGGGTTAAGGAGGAATTACCTATATTTTCTCCTACTTATCATATGGTGTTCTATTTCATATTTTGATTCCTGATACATTTGGAGTTTATTCTTATGTGTGATGTAAGATATGCATCATATTTAATCTTTTCATATGATTAGCTATTTGTTCTAGCACTATTTATTTATTTATTTACTTTTTATTTTTATTTTTTTTTTGAGTTGGAGTCTCACTCTGTCGCCCAGACTGGAGGGCAGTGGCCGCTCCCGGCCACCGCAGCCTCGTCCTGCTGGCTCCAGCGATCCTTCCACCTCAGCCTTCCGAGTAGCTGGAACTACAGGCGCGCGCTACCACGCCCGGCTGATTTTTTAATTTATTATACAGATGAGGTCTCGCTGCCCAGGCAGGTCTCGAACCCGCAGGCTCAGGCAATCCACTCACCTCAGCCTCCCAAAGGCGTGGGATTACAGGCTGAGCCACCGAGTCCGGCTAGCACTATTTATTTAGTCCAACTTTATTCTAGTGATTTCACCTTTATCTAACTAAATTTTCATGAACACTTGGGTCTATTTTTAGACTTTCTTTTCTCTCCTTACAGCATTTGAACAGTATTTATACTCATTTCTATAGGAGAGTCTAAATGGAGATTATTTGTGATTTTAGAGAGAAACGGACTAAAATGCTCAATTTTTAAAAAATTAGGTTTAAGACTACAGTTTTTTTTTTTTCTGGAGTCTCACTCTTAATGGAGTGCACTGGCCGGAGTGCAATGGCATGCTCAGAGCCACCAAAGCCTCGGACTGCTGGGCTCAGATGATCTTTCCACCTCAGCCTTTCTCCGAGTAGCTGGAACCACAGGTGTGCACCACTATGCTGGCTAATTTTTAAATTTATTGTAGAGATAAGTTTTTGCCATGTTGTTCGGGCTGGTCTCAAGCAATCCTCTTGCCTCCACCTTGCAAAGTGATGAGATTACAGGCATGTACCACCGTACCTGGCTAAGATTACAGTTCTTAATCTAGTTTTACTCTTCAGCCCCCTTCCATTTCTCAGCCGTATTGAACAGCTGATACAAGGAGGTAAGAGAGGTCCTTTGGGTCACATGGATCTAGTAATGGCTTTTAGAAAATGTAAACAAGCAAAGTAAGAACTTTTATCCCCACGGGCAGGTTGTACTTGTGGACTGGTATGGCCACAATTGCATATGTGACCTTTCTTTCCTATTCAATATGGGGACAGTTTTTAGAAATGGGAATAGTCTTTGAAAAAAGGTATTGTGTTTCTTTTAAGCTTAAAGTTATTAGACTATTTTATTTTACTTTCCTTTTTTGCCCTTACACACATATAAATGTATGTCGTGTCTGACCTTTAGGTTTGCTGTAATGGTACAAGAGTATTTGTGCAAAAAGAGGTTCTTGATAAATTTACAGAGGAAGTAGTGAAACAGACACAAAGGATAAAAATTGGAGATCCCCTTCTGGAAGATACAAGGATGGGTCCACTCATCAACCGACCTCACTTGGAGCGAGTCCTTGGGTTTGTTAAACTGGCAAAGGAGCAAGTAAGAAATAAAGGGTGGTGAGATGGGCTTGGGGGAGGGTTGTTATGCCCTAGATACTCGCTGTGTGCCCTTTGCATATGGTAGTGTTCTTCTGGCTGTCAGAGTCCCTAGCAGTGTTCTGCTTTGTACTTGCAATGTGGAGACTAGGTATGCATGTGTTCAGGATACACTTAAGATTTCAGAAATTCATTCTGGGGTTGTATGTTTAATATGGAAGATATATTCTCTATTTCAATCTTTTTGACAGGGTGCCAAAGTGTTGTGTGGTGGAGACCTGTATGTACCTGAAGACCCCAAATTAAAGAATGGATACTACATGAGACCTTGTATATTAAGTATGTTCTCTTGTTTGCTTTTAAATGGTTCAAATGAAATATGTAAATGAATATTTATAAAATATGTAAATGGCATAATGCAAGGGCTGGCAAACTCTGTGAGCCCACTCCCCAGGTTTAAGAAGCAGAAGCACTCCATTGTCTTTGAAGCCTTCTGTGTGTGCTTCCTCTAGGGCAGCCATGTGTATTAGCTCACCTGAGACAACAACTTCTGTTTTGGAGGCAAGGAGCTCCCAAAAATGAAAGTGCATGTTTGATAAAAAATTAATGAATTTAATTCTTCAAGAAAGTGAAGACTTTTGCATTGAAACTGTAGGTCATCAATATTATGAAACCAATTTGTCAGATAATCTTTTAAAAATTATGTAATTTAATGATTTTTAGCACCTCCTTTCAATCTTGAAAAAAATCTCCTGGTTTGGACAATCAAGTGCATATGGTCATCCTACTCACAGTCATGTACTTCTCTCTTATTCAGCAGTAATCACCATTCTAAATGTTTTTATCATTCTCATGCTTTTCTCTGTCATTTTACAATGCATGTTAGTATCCTCTATACAAATATTGTTAGTTTCATAGACTTTGAAAGATTATATATAGGTTGAAATGTTGTATAATTCCTTACATCATTTTTTTTTTTGAGGTTACAATCACAGCTTACTGTAACCTCAACCTCCTGGGCTCAGATGATCTTTCTGCCTCAGTCTCCCGAGTAGCTGGAACTACAGGCTTGTGCCACCATGCCCAGTTAATTTTTAATTTTTATTTCCTGTAGAGACAAGGTCTCAGTATGTTGCCCAAGTTGGTCTTGGACTCCTGGACTCAAGCGATCCTCTTGCCTTGGCCTTCCAAAGTGCCAGGATTACAGGCATGAGCCATCACACCCGACTAATTCTTTATATCTTATCTTGAAGATAAATTAAGCTGATTTTCCCCCTTTTTGATATTCAATGCAGTTTGACCTTTAACCCTTGCTAAAGAAATCCACTGAAGTTCAAAAGCTGAGAACCTAATGTCCATACCATGGATTGGCTTACGATTATTAAGTTAATACTTAATGAATAGGAAAAGCTTACAATATATTGTTAAGTAAAAACCAAGCATGTACATAGGAAAAAGAAGGCATGGAGCAAACATCATAATATTAATAGTAGATTACAGGCTGCATGTGGTGACTCATGCTTATAATCCCAGCACTTTGAGAGACTGAGGCAACAGGATTGCTTGAGCTCAGGAGTTTGAGACCAGCCTGGGCAATATAGTGAGACTTTGTCTCTACAAAATCAAAAAACATTTTTTTTTTAAGTCTGAGTCTCACTCTGTCGCCCAGACTGGAGTGCAGTGGCCGCTCCCAGCCACCGCAGCCTCAACCTGCCGGGCTCCAGCGAGCCTTCCGCCTCAGCCTTCCAGTAGCTGGAACTACAGGCGCGCGCTACCATCCTGGCTCATTTTTAGCTGGGCATTGTGGCGTGCTCCTGTAGTCCCATCTACTCAGGAGACTGAGGCAGTAGGATCACCTGAGCCTAGGAAGTAAGGCTACAATAATCTGTGATTGTGCCACTGCACTCCAGTCTGCATAACAGAGCGAGACCCCAGCACATACACACACAGAGAACTGGATGTGATGGCATTTGTCTGTAGTCCCCACTACTTGGGAGGCTGAGACAAGAGGATCATTGGAGACCAGGAGGTTGAGACTGCAGTGAGCCAGGATTGTACCACTGCACTCCAGCCTAGACAACTAAGTGAAATCCTGTCTTAAAAAAAAAATAAACAAAAAGTAGATTTCTTTGGATGCTGTGATTTAAGGTGATTTTTATTATACTTTGTGCATTTCTGAATATTATAGATTTTCTACGGAGAATATGTATTTTGCAATCAGAAAAGTTAACCTAGGTAAAGAACAGGTGCTAACTATATTAACTGGATTCTGGAAGCCTGGCTTGTGGTCTACTATATCCATATTGCTTGGAAGACTTGTTAAAAAGCCAGGTTCCTGTTCCCTGCCCTGGACCCCCACATGCCACTCGCAGGGATAGGTCATAGAAATCTGTATTTTAATAAGCTGACAGTTCATTTTTATGCGTACTAACTTCTGGGAGTGACTCCAGAGTCTGCCCTTTTAATTTGTTTACTTAAGATTTGGGCACCAGCATCGAGTGGGTAACATGTTTAAGGCAGGAATCTTTCCATTTCTTCTATGTCATCTGCTACTTTATACCTTCATCTCTTGGGACTCTCCAACATGGAACTCACTGCATATAGACTCATGCTGTATTATTGACCTGCATAAGATAATAAAATACTCCTGAGATTGTTGGGTAATGAATTGTCTTGATTAATTAAATGTTCTGGCAAGTAATTTCCCCTAAAAATTATATGTAGGTTACTAGTTTTTAAAGAATTAGATAAGGTGCGGTAGCTTACACATGTAATCCCAAAACTTCAGGAGGCTGAGGCGAGAGAATCGCTTGAGCCCAGGAGTTTGAAGACAGCTTGAGCCACATAGCGAGACCTCGTGTTTAAAAAAAAAATCACACAAAAAATTAGCTTGGTGTGGTGGCATGTACCTGTAGTCCCAGCTACTTGGGAGACAGGCAGAAGGATCACCTGAACCCAGGAGTCAATGATCGTGCCACTGCACTCCGGCCTGGGCAATAGAGTGAGACCCCGACTCAAAAAAACACAAAGAAAACAAATTTAAAAATCCCCAAAGAATTAACTATCCTAAAACACACTTAAATATTACTTAATATATCTTTGAAGATAGTTAGGCATCTCCAAAGTACAATACAACCCACAGGTGACCACCATGCTATTCTTGTATATACAAATTCTAATTCATCTCGTAAGAGATTTTAGAAATGTGGTCTTTGTAGAAATGTGAAAGGTTGGTTTTTGGACTTCAGCTAATAGAAAGCTAGTGTTTCTTGTAGGGCTCTCCAGCTCTTTTTCTGCCTGTACACTGCTTATGTGTGCAACACAACCTTGCAGGTGTCATTTCTCACCCTGTGTAGTATGTGCAAGTGAAAAAAAAAAAGTCAAGTATGAGTTAAATGATTTTATCGAGTTAGTCTTTAAAGGAACTTAAGTGCATTTTTGTATAAAGTGAGCACTCCTTAACTTGTTTCTTTTTTTTTTTTTCTTTTTTGAGTTGGAGTCTTACTCTGTTGCCCAGACTGGAGTGCAGTGGCATGCTCCTGGCCACCACAGCCTTGACCTGCTGGGCTCCGGCGATCCTTCTGCCTCAGCCTTCCAAGTAGCCATAACTACAGGCATGCGCTACCACACCCAGCTAATTTTTGATTTATTGTAGAGATGAGGTCTTGCCAAGTTGTCTGGGTGGGTCTTGAACCCGTGGGCTCAGGCAATCCACTCACCTCGGCCTCCCAAAGTGCTGGAATTACAAGCTGAGCCACCAAGCCTGGGCTCCTCAACTTATTTCTAATAAGTCTATGTTTATATTGGATTTCTTTTTTTATAATGTTTCTAATTATGTTCATAGTACAGACATTAAGAAGATGTGGGAAGTATAAAGAAAATGATATGTATAATATTTTAACAGAAATTGGGATAATGTGTATACAGTTTTGTATAATTTTCAGTGAATGTTTTGTCATGAGCATTTATTAAGTTTTCTTGAAAAATACTACTTTAAGAAGCTCCATAAAATTCCTCATTAGTTAACAGCTGGGTGTGGTGGCTCACTCCAGCTACTAGGAAGGCTGAGGCAGAAGGATCACTTGAGCCCAGCAGTCGGAGGCCAGCTTGTGCAACACAGTGAGACCTCATCTCTAAAAATTTAAAAATAAAAATAAAGTTTGTTATTGGGATGTATAGTTCATGTGATCATTTCCTCTATTTTGGATGTTTTGTTTGTTGCTTCCAGTTTTCACTATATAAATAATGTGATGAACATCCTTGCAAACAAATTCTTATTCATCTTATTAGCTATTTATGATGGATTTTTAGAAGTGGATTTAGAATTGCACAAAGGCTATGACTCTTTAATACATATTGTTAAATTGCCATGCAGAAAGGATGTCCCAATTATATTCACACTGACAACCTCATATTGAATTTTTTTAAAACTATGTATGTCACTGTTCACTGTGAATATGACATTCTCAAATGTCAGGAATAATAATCCCTTAACTGTTCTATTTTAATGTTTGCAGCTAATTGCAGAGATGACATGACTTGTGTGAAAGAAGAGATCTTTGGGCCAGTTATGTCCATTTTATCATTTGACACTGAAGATGAGGTTCTGGAGAGAGCCAATAATACTACTTTTGGACTAGCAGCTGGCGTCTTCACCAGGTACATGGAGAGGGGCACGCAGAGCATTCTGAGGAACAGGGCTGCGGCGTCTGCCCAGATTATGCCTGATCTTATGCCCTCACTGGAGTTTGCCCTCCCTGGAGTTATCAGTGTTTTCTGTTTGCTTCAGGTTAAATCAGAAAACGCCAAGGCAGCATTTTGTAGTTTGCCCTGAATGGTCAGAGAACCCTGCTCTTTAAATTGAGCTATAAACTGATGATAAAAATTCTGTGCTTTTTCATTCATTCATTGAATAGACATTTAAGATTCTGATCTATGTAAAGATGTCTTTTGAAAACATACATGTCAATGTAGTGGACAGTATTCTTAAAAAATGTGATTTTTAGTGGCATGATAGTAGTTCTTGTTTGGAATGCATGGTCACTTATTTAGGCACTTTTCCTGTTGGATATTTAGGATATTGTTTCTAATTTTAACTATTAAAAGTAATGTTATGATTCATATGTTTTTACAAAAATTTTTTTTTTTTGAGTTGGAAGACTCACTGTCGCCCAGACTGGAGTGCAGTGGCCGCTCCTGGCCACCACAGCCTTGACCTGC